TAAATAACTCATGTACTTTCTTGACTAAGGGACTTTTTCTGAACTAGAGGCTTGATGTCAATTTTTAAACTCCCATTTGCATATACAGATTGCTTGTGGATCTCTTTCCCTCTGCTGCAATAGCTTTGTAGAGACACGACCCCAAGAGCTGTGGGATCACAGCTTGTGTTTATTTGTACTGCCTCTGCTTTTCACAGATGGGGTGGTTATGTTCCAGGAATGTTGCAGAGAGAAAATATGACCATAAATTGATTCTAGAATTAGAATCTTTGCTTTTTTTGTCGGTAAGGTTAGTAATATTCAATGTGGACTACGGACTAGTGACTAATGGGAAGAAAAAGGGAGAGGGATTGAAAATGGAACACCTTGGTATGAAGTGGGCAAGTCTGCTGGTAGCTGTTATCTGACTTTTTCTAAGCAATGATGTTCTTTAGTTCTTCAAATTACTACAGAATGGTGAAAAACATTTTGTTCTGAAAATACTCCAACGAAACCATCTATCTGCTTAACCGATTATCAAACTATTTCCATTTAATTCCTTTTTCTACGGTTAGATTTTATTAGCTACAGTGCTTCCTCAGAAGATGTACTGCTTTGATTTAGCCCTCCAACCACGACTGCTCTTGAAATTGTGCAAGGAGAAATAAGAACTTCCTTATGACTTGCAGAGGCAGCATCTGGGCAATGTCATCAATAGTTTGGACAGAAGCACTTTGCAGTCTCAAGCCTGTTCAGCTCTCAACTTTCACAAAACCAGTTCTTCAGGATACACAGTTTGAATGTGATCAGGGGAAGATCCAGCAACTAGGAAGAGGTTTCATCTGGACCAAGTTCTTTGAACAGGTCGTATTTGAGTTTACAGTTCCATAAAACCAGGAATAACAGAACTGAGAGACATCAGTGCAAAACAGAGATGAGAAGAATCAGACCCACAAGGTTGATGCTTTACAGTGAGAAGATTAATCCGTTTAGACCCTGGCATTGTGTGCTTGCTCTGGGTCCAGCAAGCCTCTTTATAACCTTTTCACAAACACAACATTTCTGATCAACTTGTCAAAGTCCTGCAAGAATGTTATTAGCTCTGGAGCTTTGCTGTGGGGGTCAGGAAGGTCTGCTCCCTTCTGCTCTTGCTGTTGTGTTGGGAATGCAGTTTCCATCCAGCACTCGCAAGGAGTATAATCTTCTGATGGTTTTATACTTGTTTGGAGTGGAAAAGCTTGTATAAAACCTGACACACACAGATTAATAATTCCTGCTTTTATCTTATACATATAGAATTGCTTTTATCTTATACATATAGAATTGCTTCTGTCTTCTGCATCTTCTCTCCATGCTGTGGTTTGGTTTTAACCTTGTTTCTTCACACATGGCCACCTTCCATTGGACTGCAGCCAGTCTACCTGACAGGTAGTGTTGCAGAACTAATGAAGTTAGTGTTTCAGCTGCACTTGGTCCTCAGAATATAATAGTATTAATTTATGTTTGATGCAAGGTGAGTTGCTGTGAGTGGGTAGTGAAAAGAAATGTGATTAAATGGTTCAGAGCTCAGAATCAAATTCTCCACACTAGAAACTTCATTTGGTTTGGAATATCTAGGACAAAAGTGGATCCATAATGGACAATTTGTTGTATTAATTCAGTGCTACTTTCACTTCCCCATATCACGACCTCTTGATTCATCTCACTGAAGGCCATGGATCCCTCCACCTGGGACCAAATGTTTTATATAAAACATAATGGCAATTATTGGGCTAAACTTTTATCTATTTTTACAAGCTGACAGATGCACAAAGCATCAAACTGAGATACAGCTTTGGAAAACCACTGCAGATGTCATGTCACCTGAGGTGGCTACCCTGCAGTTAAATAAGCTTTTCTCCTTTTATTTATAGCACAGGGTGTAGTTCTAGTATCAACCATCAGATCCAGCATGATAGCAATGGAGTGATGAAATCATCAGTCCTTGATCAGATGAGGTGTAATGGTCCTGAAAACCCATATGATCAGGAATGCTGATTGTGGGTGTCTTGGTTGATGTGCGTCACTGATAGCGAATCACTCAACTCCTTGTCAAGTGTTTGAGCAGGATGTGTTCCACCAGCCAGATCCTGCTGTGCTGCTTTGCTGTGTGAGGGATCTCAGTGATGTGAGGGTGATGGATGATAGCACTGTGGTACCTGTACTCAGAATCAGCAGCACTTCTCCACAGAGTGGTTCCATTGAAATAAATGGAACTATCTGTGGGAGAAGAGATGAGTGGCTCTAAGTGGAGTCAGTTGGAATTGTGTCTTTTTCGCCCCAGAAAAGGGAATCAATTTTGATGAAACATTTATTTTCTATAGGGTGAAATGTATATGAAAGCTGAAACTCTGCCAAGGTAAATCGTGTTTTGACTTAGTGTAGTTCAAAGTGGGTTTGAGATGCACAGAACGTGTATTCCTGCAGCCACTGAGTGTTTCCTGGCTGGAGCTAAGTGGGGTTTCCTTTATTTTCCTTTGTTTTGTGAAGTTTGAAGGAATTTGGTTTACACTGACATTCTAAACAAAGCAGCAGGGTGCACAGATACATGTGCAGTGTGATTAGTAAGTGAGTGGAAATCACAAATTTCCTGGGTCTTGCTCTTATTGTTCCTTGTTATCAGCTTCCATCTCTCCAGCTCATATTTTCACATTGTTTCCCACTTCCTGTTGGCTTTTGGGAATCATTTTAGCATTTTTCTTGAGCTGTTTAATCTTAAACTGATTTATGGCAGGTATAAACGAGGAGCCTAATTCAATGTGCTTAAAGCACCATTGCTGATAACAAAATTAGGGCTCTTGCTAAATTGAAAGCAATATTGAGAAGTAAAGTAACAACAATGAACTCTTTACTAGTAAATCTGTTTCCCACTCCAATTCCCCAACTGGTAGCAGCAGTAAAGTGCTTAAAGCAGGGCAAGTGCTGGACTTGGGCAGTCTTCTGAAGGTGAAGGACTTGCTCTCTGGAGATGCAGAAGCAAAGGTGGGTGCTTGTATTGGAAGTACCCACGGGTAAGATGAAAAATCTCTTTTACTACAAAAACCCATATGGGCACCTACAGTGCCTTCATGACATGGTACATGTGGCACACGTCACACACGTGTGGGTCACACTATGTAGTACATGTTACATGCTACAGTCATTGATTCAAGACAAATCCATGTACTAAAACCTCCTGAAGATCCTGTTAATGGGAATTTCACAAGTGCTTTTGGAATGTGATGCTAAACCCTGCTAAAAGTCAGCAAGTTGGAGATTTGCATGCCTCTCAGCCTTTGGAATTGACCTATTGATCCTAATACAATCACTGCATCCAAAAAAGCTATTGCTTATTCAATCCTGAGGTCTAATGGGCACCAAATGTGTGTGAGTACAAAAAAAATCTGCAGTGCTTTGGTACTCTTCATATTCCTGTATGTTTCTAACAGTGTTGGGTGAAATCCCCCAACTCCCTTTCACACTAGAACCAGTAATGCTGAATCAGGTAAGTATGTTTCCCAAGAATGATTCATCTATCCAGAGCAAGAGACTATAAAGGCAATATAAATCCTAACTTCCTGAAAGAAAAGAATGAAGTCTCTACCTTTCAAATAACTTTATATCCTTCAGCACTGGTAATAAATATCCTCCTTTTTCTATGAAGTCCTTGGTGCCTGTAGCCTTGAATTATTTGTCTCCTATATGGAGTATCTCAGCATATGCAGATTAAACCCAAGTACAAGTGTTTTCTTTCCCTCTTTCTGGTGTGCTTGGTTGTCTTTCATTTAGACCAGCCTTACAACAGTCAAGTATTGTAGTTTTTGTAGTATCCTTGTCAGTTCAAGCACTGAATCTCTCCCTGTGTTTCAAGAATACTGTCTGAGGTCAAACTTTCAGCTGGTATAAATCAACGTCCAATTCCAAGGACGCACACAAAGAATTATGTATAACTTATGGCCTCTTTTAAAACCTTATGGAAGGCTCCAATAGCACATAAAGAACTGTAATATGAGGAGGGCTTTGTATATTTAAATCTAGCTGCCTGCAATTTTGATTCCAAGCTCTGCCAGCAGGAAGTGGCTTTTCCATTTGCATGGAAACTCAGGCAGGAAACTGCCTTTTAAAAATTAACCATTCATGTTCATGTCTATGTTGCACAATAAACCCCAATAACCTGTTTTCTGTGTTAAATAACCCTTTATTGTGGAGATTAAATATGGCTTTCCCAGTATTTTGCAAGCCAATGGAAAATACTTGGCTGCCTTTGGGGTGACATTGCAGTGTTTGAAACAGTGATGCTCCCACACAGCAGCTGAATCCTGGAGGTGAAGAATAAATCAGAAATTGCATATGGGGATTTTCTCTTGAAAGAGATGAACTAAAATTGATCCAGGACAGCCAGATGAATAACCTGATGCAAACAAGTAGTGCTATGGGATCTTTAATGACCTCACATGATCAAGATCATACCCCACATTTGTTGCCTGAAGCTTTATGGTCCATCAAACCATAAAATCATGCTTGGCAATTGATCCAGTGCTGACTCAAAGGTAGGATTGCCACAGACAGGTTCACTCGTACTGCTTCCTACAGCCTCAGGCTTTCTTGGGAGCGGTGCTGATCTAATACAATTTCTCTTGGACTGCAAGATGTGAGGGCAAAAAAAAAAGGCAAATGGTGTTTTTTTGTCTCCAGTCCAGAAGGTACCACACAGGATTTACTGCCCCTGGAAGCCTGTCAGCCTCTGTCAGTGCTCCTGGTGCCTCTGACTCAGTAACCAAATCCCAGTAATTCAGCCTGACCCCTGCTTACATGCTGTATTGCAATACACTATTTCTTCATCCTGAAACCAAGGGGAATAGAATTCCCCATCCATAAAACCTGGTAACATTTTAAAATCAGATTGAAAGTTTCACTTGTTTAATTCCTAGAAAGCCAAAAATCTTCTAAACTTAAACCCCAAACAAACCCACAACCCAAAATAACCCCCACTCTTTCCCCAACTTTATTACTTAACTCAGGACTCTGGTGCAATGCATGTCGCCACACGCAATCCACAGGCAATTTTCACATCTTCCAACCTCCCCAATGTTGTCTCAGATGAAGACAGAACAACAAAAGGAAGACAGGATCTTATCACCCATCTACCAGGTTCTGTTACTACCCACATGCACTGCTTAGTGTCTTCATCATCTTAAGTCTCAAGTAAAAGCCATTATCTGTTTACTGATAATGTGTTCTCTTGACTTTGTGGACAATAATGAAGTGGTACATTCAGCAGAGTAATATTTGGGATACACATCAAAAGGCCCCAAAGGAAACGTATCAAATATGTGAGTATTTACACATAACTTGATATACTTGCTGCACAAAATGTTTATAGGCTCTGAATAGACCTTTAATAGTTGTTGATGTGGCTTCTGCAGAGTTGAGAACACTCAGTGTCAGGGTGTTTGATCTTGTTGGAACACATAGGACTGGGCCAGAGAGAATATTCTTGTACATCTTTGGTCATGGTTTTCAGTCAGGGTGGCTTTGCTGAGAGTAAAGACTTTGTTGTTTGATCCTGCCTCTGTGTTCTGCTTCCTAGGAGAGGTTTGCAATGGGAATGTCATGAAATAAAACCTTGGACATTCTGGGTCTAAGTCCAGACTTTGCTGCTGGTCTGTCACGCAGCTTGTTCTGACTCTCCATGCCGCTGCTCTTGTGTCTTTAAAATAGGTGCTTTAAAAGCTGTGAAACACCTTGAGCTCTACAGAACTGTGAATTCTTATTTCATTTCTGCTGCCCCCCCTGTTTGGAAGGGTTTTAACTCTCAATCTCGGCACAAAGCCAGAATCTCCTGTCATTTTCAGCTGGTGCTGGTGAGCACTGGATTAGTTGTTTTTGCACTCTCCAGCACTGAGCAGGCCTGCACCAATGCTTGTCAAACTACAAGTGAGAATTGTTTTCCAGCTTATCAGCATATTAGGAACATTACATGGAAGTTCTGAAGGCTTTTCTGTAAACTTGAAATCTAATTATCACTTACCTGCGTGTTCGAGGGGGAAGGTGAACTCCATTGGGGATTCACAGCCGCTTGGAGCAGGCAGCAGGAGGGAGAACACACTGCTGAAAGTTGTGCTGCAGAAAGCACATGATAAAAGGGATTTTGCTGAACCTCCAAAATGTTATTTGGTACCTTTTGCTGCTTGTGATTTGATGAACCTATCATTTTCACTCTCATTATAGGAGACCTTGCCAAATGCTTGAAGCCAGAGCCTTGAATGAGATCTCCGTGCGGCTCACTTACATAATATTAAATATTCGTGCCCAGTAAGAAAGCCTATTAAATATTTAAACCCTGTTCTTTCCTCAAAAGCAGAACAGCAAAGATGATTTTCCATGGAATTTAACATTAAACTCTGGTAATTTGTACAGCTGTGCATATAAATAGTTTGCACATCATCTCCGGAGGCAAAGGTCACAGTGCCTCATCCATTTCAATGCTGTAAGTTACATAGCAACAACCTTCCCATTTTTGTCCCCATCTTATTTATTGAAAGTGACTTAAAAACTGGGCTGAAGTACCATGGCATTTGGAGAGATGAATGAATGGGAGTTGATTGTAATATTTTTCCTTAATCACTTAATTTTTGTCTCTTCATAGAATAAGCTCGATAATAACAGTCCATCAGCAGTGGGGACTGGGTGACATCAAGCTTTTACAGGGGAAGAAAATCAGAACAGACAACTGCCTGATTTCACTTAATGCAATTTGTTCCATGAGTGAACTTCAGACCCCTGCTTCATTACCTTATACAAACTTCAACCTGTTTTCCAAGAAGGAAAAGATTCTTCTTTGCAATTAGAATTACCCAATTACACACCGCTCATGGAAACATCATGCATATTTAGCTCCAACACATGAAAGCTGACTTTTTAAATGCCAGCAATGTATTTCTGCAAATAATAAACACTTGGGAGTTAATATCATGAAAGGAGCTTGTACAAACAAAATACAAGTGTCTCAGGATTAGTTCTTTCTCCCTGTGCTTAAACAACTCTATAATGTTATTAATTTCAGTGAGAATTCCCTAGGGCAGGGTTCTGTTTGTTGAAAAATAAAGACAAGGTTGGTTAAGTTCAGGAGGATTGAGGAGGTCAGATTCTTTGCTGCTGAGCTGGGATTGAGTGAAGGAAGATCAGTTCCTCTTTGTCACTGCTGCACACTGCATCCTTTGTGTGGTCTTGGAGGTATTATGGAATTACTCCTGTGCTTTCTCCATTTGCATCTACAGACTTCTTTGGCTGTATTTCAAATAGAAATTACACATTGAACAGTACTTTTCTCCATACTGTTAAACCTCTCCCGCATTCATTTTACATAAAGCTGATATTTGCCTATTTCCATCTTGTGCATTTTATGTACTTATTTATCATCTGGGTGGAAGTGCACTAATCGACTCTCTGGTAATTCAGATGCCTCCTGCTGTGGATGCAGCAGAGGGAATTGCCTGTTTTTGCTGGCTCTCCAACTTGTTAATTGAGAAGCTATTCAATTATAGGTAATATACTTTTATTGCTAATAAGATATCCTGGTATCAACAACAGCCCCAAATCTGACTTGAAATTTGCAGGAATTAGAAGAAACTTGAAACTGCTGCCAAAAAGGCTTCAAAAACGAACCTTACATAAAAATACTTGAATCAAGGCCAGCTTCAGAGGAGTGAAAAGTAAATCAATAAAATTCTTATCAGAGCTACCTTGCTATTTATTTACTCTGACTCATGATTGTTTCAACAGAGAAATTTGTGCAAAGGAGAATTTGCTGCAGACGTATCAGGTTGAATAAGTTGTTCTGAATGCAGATTATCAAACAGGGTATCTAAACCATAGTTAATACTGCTCTTTAGTATCTAATTTGCCAAGATTAAATTCTTTTTTATGCATCAGTTCACAAGCTCATCTTGGGCTCTGGCATTAGCTTAAGTTATGGAAGAACACTGCTGGTAAATAAATATCAGTTCTGCTGTTATTAATTTGCAACCCAGCAGTACCTGGGAGTCCCACTGGAGCCACGGCACCGTGCACAGAGGTGATGTGCAGCTCTCCCTGAATAACACTGCTGTGGAGAGCCAAAGAGCTCTGCAGCCATCTCAAGGGTTTAGGACAACTTGGAAGCTGATGTCAAAAAGGGCTGAAGTAAACGTGTGTGATTACTGGGAGCCAAAGCTTCAAGCAGTACAGATCAGTGTACGCCCACTGAATTGGGGCTGATCATGCTGATAGCGACCAGCAGGGGGACAAGGACTGTTGTTTCCATTGAAGCGGGTAGAACATGAAACTAAAAAGAGGGGGGGGGAAAGAGAAGCCCCAACCCACCTATCCCATTCACTTGTGGTTTACTTCATAAACTGCTCTGTAATTTGCATGGCTAGAAATATTTGCATGGTGTTTTGCAGGCGTGTATTCAAGTTTGTGTCCTGTCTCTGCATTTGCTTTAGAAATATGTGCACCTCTGTCTGCATGAAAAGTAATTCCTGGCTCGTACAGGAGATGAATCCATAGGCTGCCATTTTCTTCTCTCATTACAGGCTTTGGCACAGAGACTGCAGCTAAATTTTAATGCCCATATGTATTCCCTGAAACACCCTTGGGTATTTTACTATGCTGACCTTTCATCATTTCCTATGTTGATTGGGATGACCATTCCACCCCGCTGTGTCTCTCACTGGAGCTGTAAAACAGTGAAATGAGTCAAAAGACTCCAGCAAGTCACAATACAGAATACTGAAAAGGTCAGTGGGGCTCTGTCTCCCCTGCTAGAGCTCGTGCAGTGTGAGACACCTGAAGTATTCAAATAGCACCTGTACTGTTGTGTGCCATGGTTTAGCCTAAACAGGTCAAGGTGAGTAATGGCAAACTCATCCTTAACATGTTCTTTGCGGGGTCTGGAGTCTTCCAAAAGGCTAAAAGCTAGTATGATCTCTCATGTTAATGTCCAATGTCATGTCAGTGGTGGAAACAACAGAGCTGGACTCTATTCTTCAGAGCCCTACATGAATAGCTCTCAGTTTACAGACAGTAAACCCCAGCCCTAGTGTCAGATTTAAAGGGCAACTGTGGTCTGTTTCCCTTCCTGGGATCTTGTGAGTTCTTAACTTTCAGCAAACCTTTGCAGTTCACAGTTAAATTGGATTTTCTCTTGAGTACATCTGGTGAAAGAACCTCAGCAACTTCCCATGGGAGAGTATTCCATGAACTTAATGAACTCATCTTCTAGAAATCTCTGCTAAATCCAGTGACAGTTCCTCAAAAGGGCAAGCATGTTAACGTATCATTTCAGGAACTTAGAAATGTATTTTGCTTCACCTAAATCTGACCTATGGATCTCTCTGAAAAAAAATGAAGCAATAGTCAGTGTTCAGCAGCAGACTCAGAGTCTGAACTGGCCTCATTGGGAATGATTCACATGGTGAAAGGAAAGAAATGAGAATGCACAGAGTCTATGTGCACTGCTTCCTCCCTCCCTCCTAAAATAGGCTTCTATTTTTCTTCCGGTGGCTCCAGAAGGGCAGGATTCACAACTGAGTAGTAAATCAATACAATCAGACTTGGTTATTTCTATTTCCACCCAAGCAAGTTCGTGCCCTGTTGGTTGATTTCAAATGCCAGTATATTATCTATTTGTGTCTCTTCACTTTTTCCCCCCGAGGCAAAAGATGTTCACAGCAACAACAAAAGGGAAGAGAAATACGAAAAGATTAGTTTGATCAAAGGAATATCATGTCACACCAGAAGATTGATTTTCCTTTCCTCCTGGACTGCCATGCCCCTTCCCTCCGTGCTGGCTGCAAGGCTGTAGCAGAGATCTCTTCCTCATGTCTCACCATGCCTCGCATGTGGATCTTTTGATTATGACTTAGCTCCTTCTAATATCACACAAACAAGGCTCTGTCATGTCCCAGCTGCTGACCTATGCCTTGTGTGATACGCAGGAAGGGCACTTTTTCAGTTGTCACACTTGCCTGGCGGGTAGGAGTCTTGGGACAGGACACTCGGTTACCTCTCTGCTGTCCTGTACTGTTAAGAAAGAGCATCAGAAAAGACTAGAAAGGAAAATCTTAATCTTTAAAGACAAACCAGTGCAAGGCTGGATGTGTCTTGCTTACACTACCACTGATTCTTAATGTATGATTAGCTCCTGCTGTGCCCCAGAGTGCAGGCTGGAGGTTTGATGGACAGGGAGGAGCATAAAGCAATAATATATTAACACTTGGTATCAAACCACCTTTTGTTTAATGGGGATAAGGAAACAATCCAATTTTAATAATGCCAGATCACTCTGCCTAAATGAAATGGGAACAGGAGATGGGAGGCTGGTGAACAGCACTGCCTGCCAGCAGGAAAACAGGTTTTAATCCTATAAATCACAAAAGGAAATTGCTAAGGCTATATCTCATACAATTAAGTCAATTTAAGCCTGACTATTAGGGGTAAAAAAGATTACTCATGAACTGGCATTTCAGTATGGAGTTTTGTGATAGTGCTGGATTCGCGCAGGCAACTTCAGTCTTCAGAGCTTTTGTATCCAGGGCTGCTGGAAGCAACTCTAGTTCCATGAAAGCACAATGCTGACTTTACACAAGGGATATTTTCCTCCAATATTGCCATAGGGAGCTGAACAGCTAGAGTGGAACTGCCTGTAGAACAGGGTGAGTAATGGGAAGCTAATTCTGTCTATTGACCAGCAGGTGCTTGGAGCCATGCAGATGAGAGTCTGGAGCAGGGGCTATGGAGAATGTGTGTTTTGTTAAACTCTGGTCAGGGAGCTACAGAGTATGGAGGGAAGGGCTTAGATCTTCCTAGAGAATGGTGGTGAGACATTTAAAGCAGCGTTGGCTACTGTGTTACTAGAAGACCTTTATTTCTATTTCATATCCCCCTGGGATCCCTGGGATCTGGACTTCATGATCCCCGAGTAGTCTCACTCTGAGAAAACTTAGCTAAGAAGCAGGGGCAACATTAAAATAGAAGTTGCAGCTCTTTGGGAGCTACCTCTGCAATATCCTCCACAGCTTGAACACCTCCAGCATTACAAACAAATCTCCAATCTTTAGAAGCAAACATTCTCTATAGCA